AACCCCATAACAGAATAAAAAGAAAATAACAATTTTTACTGCTATTTTGCTGAGTTTTCCTTCCCTGTTTTCACTTTGTTTTGTCACTATGAAACTCACTTTTCATTCACTTTTTCTGTATTTCAACTCACTTTTCTCACTTTTTCAGAGGGGAAATGGCACTTCGAGGCCTGTTTGTTTAGTAAAGCCCAGAATTTTTTAGTACTCAATTATTTTGCACTTTTTCTTTCTTCCAACAAGTGTGATATAAAATGGGGCTACTGTATTAGAACATTAAGATTAAACTAGAACAGAACATTTTATATTTAGAAAATAAATATGAAGCACAGAACATTTTAATTGAAAACAAATATAAATAACATATGTGCATGACTATTAGAATGTAACATCTGCTGTGAATAACATACTCCATGTGGAAGACATAGTCCTTTTTTATAATTAATTGCTGTCCATTTTCGAACAGCTTTATAACAATAATATCATAAAGTACTCAGCAAATCTTTATACATATACAAATACTTAACACCTTATTCTTGCCGAGAAATATAATTTATTTGAACAAACTAACGTTTTCAGCCTGATTCACAGGCCATCTTCAGGTTTAGAATACATTTGAATTAGAATTCCATCAATGGAATACAAAATTTAAATTCAAAATTAAATAAGGTACAATTAAAATAAAATATTAAATAACCAACATACAACAAAAATAAAATATAAAAAATATATAAAAATGCAACAAATGAATATATAAGTATTAATAAATGCAATTACTAAGACATTCAATAAAACTACTATATTGATTGGTTAGAGCCCTTATTAAACTTCTTAACCATAAACTTCCATGCAGAGGGAAGACTTTCTGCGTCCCTCGCATTCAGACAGCCTTCTTGTAATCTACTCCTATAAATCTGCAACTTTTCCGCTGTTAACGCCAAAGATGGAGAAGATAAAGGATTTATGATGGTCGCCTCATTCCATTTGACTATAGCTCCTGGTGCTTGTGCCATTTGGGACAAAATTGTTGCATTAGACCCCTTTCTGATATTATAACTATGCTCCTTGATTCTAAGCCCTAAACTTCTAGTGGTTACTCCAATGTAGTCTTTTTTAACGCCCAATTGCATGTTCTCATACGGAATTTTATAAACCCCTGCTTTCTCTTCTGACCTTATATCATCTTTATCATTCCTGAGGATTTTGTATAAATTAGGGGCCCTTTTTATAAGCATCCTCGAACCTTTTCTGTGTGCAATCTCTTTCATGACTGTATTCATACTTTCATTATATGTAAATTTTACGAATCTATTGGGAGCATTTTTAAAACACCCTTTCTTGATGTTGGCTTCATATTTCCTAACTATTCCCAGAATTGTACTTTTTTGGTAACCTAGGGTCTTGGCTACGTTTATTATTCTATTTATTTCTTTCCTCCTGTCTTGTACTCTTTCACAATACAAAAATGCCCTTCTTATTAAAGCTCTGAAAGCTGCAATTTTATATTTATACGGATCCTTGGATTGGGAGGGAATATACAATGGGCTGTGGGATGGTTTAATAAAAACGCTAGTGGACAGGTGGCCTTTTTTGAATGTAATATCGATGTCGAGAAAATGCAGATTCAAGGAACTCTTCTGCTCCAATCTTAAAGTAAGGCCATCATTGTTATCATTGATCTTATCCAAAAAATCCTTAATTCTGCTGTTATTTCTCCATAATATAAGTAGGTCATCAACGTATCTGCTAAAATACATGATATCCTCCTTAAAACCATGAAAAATTCTTCTTTCCAGTCTCCTAACTACCAATTCGCATAGGATCCCTGAGAGCGGGCTTCCCATAGGGACCCCTCTTCTCTGTCTGTAGATCTGTCCATTAAAAGCGAAACAAGATTCACGGCAGACCAAACTAGTCAAACTCTCTACTTCTTCAGTATAACTAAGCAATTCCGAGTTATTACAGTATAAGAAATCCAATAGCGCCTCCTCGCACGATTCTATCTTTACTGACGGATACATGCTTTCATAGTCGAAAACAGTTGCAACTTCATCTTCCATTAATGCTATATTTTGCAGATCCTTAACCACCTTCATAGGATCACGTGCAACTAGAGTATCTGTGTCTAGCTGAGAGGATAAATACTCATGCAACTTCTTTTCTAACACAAACGTGGGACCTCTGCATTTCTCTACAACCGGTCTTATTTCTTTACCGGTTTTATGCACCTTAGCGAAAGCAAATAACCTAGGTGTTCCAGGTCTAGGGTTCCTGCACTTCTTGAGAAAAGGCAAAGCTTTGGAAAGTTTAGAGACCTCTAGCTTCCTGACCCTTCTATCCAAGCTTCCAATAAAATTGCTGTTGATCTTTTCACACTCTGTCTTTTCGATGTAATCCATTAGTGCCTCGTTATACGTACGCCTTTTCATGATGACTAGTTGTTTACTTTTATCTGCCCTAGTCAACACCAAATCATTCTGCTTTAACCAATTCTTAGTGAGCCGGATGTCACTACTTCTAATATCTTGCTTTCGGTCCCTCTGTCTGTTGTTAAGGACTGCTTTCCATCTGAAGTACTCTTTTTCTAAATCGTCTAGCCCAACAATGCCCCTTTCAATTTCCTGTACTGAGGTTTCCCAATTCATAGCCTCCACTGGAACAAAATTTGGGCCTTTTTTTAGAAGCTTCTTGATCTTTTCTGGTACTTCTATTTAGAAGTTTAGGGCTTAGAATCAAGGAACATAGTTATAATATCAGAAAGGGGTCTAATGCAACAATTTTGTCCCAAATGGCACAAGCACCAGGAGCTATAGTCAAATGGAATGAGGCGACCATCATAAATCCTTTATCTTCTCCATCTTTGGCGTTGACAGCGGAAAAGTTGCAGATTTATAGGAGTAGATTACAAGAAGGCTGTCTGAATGCGAGGGACGCAGAAAGTCTTCCCTCTGCATGGAAGTTTATGGTTAAGAAGTTTAATAAGGGCTCTAACCAATCAATATAGTAGTTTTATTGAATGTCTTAGTAATTGCATTTATTAATACTTATATATTCATTTGTTGCATTTTTATATATTTTTTATATTTTATTTTTGTTGTATGTTGGTTATTTAATATTTTATTTTAATTGTACCTTATTTAATTTTGAATTTAAATTTTGTATTCCATTGATGGAATTCTAATTCAAATGTATTCTAAACCTGAAGATGGCCTGTGAATCAGGCTGAAAACGTTAGTTTGTTCAAATAAATTATATTTCTCGGCAAGAATAAGGTTTTAAGTATTTGTATATGTACAGCTTTATAACTTTCAAGCTTTTCAAGATAGCTGGTGTAGGTCCCTAGATAGTACAGGAGATGCGTATTCTTTAAGTCCACTTGTACTTCTCCATCCAAGACATAGGTTACAAGGGCAATGCAAGGAAGTTGCTTTCTAAAGTTATAATCATGTTCTTTAATTCTTGCTTTAAGGCATCCAGCCATAGTGTCCATGTATTCAAAAGAGCAATGCAATCTGTAGTCTTGCACAGGTACCTGTGCAAGACTACAGATTGTATTGTATATACCTGGTAGGAGGCTTCTTTCAGTTTTGTCCTTCTCATTCCTGAGCATTGAGAAGATCATAGTAGTTCTTTTATAGATAGTCTTATTACTATGTCAAGTAATTTCTCTGTACACTGAGTGAAGGATTTTATTGTAGGCAAGTACTACAATAAGGCCCTTCATGCTCTCACACCATGACATAGCAGCTGAGTAATTATGCTCTGATGACAGGCCTTTTGTAGTGCAATCACTATAAAAGGCCTGTCATCAGAGGTCATCAGAGGTCTTCACTGACTTCAAGGACAGAACAAGTATATGTTAAGATAGTAAACATGGAGTGAGACAAGAGGGAGTTGATAGCCAAGATCAGAGATAGTACGATTATCTCAGTAGTAGATCAGACCAAAATCTTTAATCATAGTATGGATAAGAATAAACTATACTCTTTTGGCATTCCTTAATACAGCTCCTATTTTTTTAGTGTGATAAGTCCTCCATAGAGTCAAAAATTAGTGCTCATAGTCATACAGAAATCTTCATGTAGAGATTGTTCCACACAGCCCATATTCTGAAAAGACCGATAGGAAAAGGATTTGAAAGAAATGGAAAGCCTAAAAGATGAGGTAAAATGCCAAAAGAGTATATAGCTCCTACAGCTTCTACTTTTTAACTGTTGTCTTGTTTATAACTATTATGTTCACTTACCATAGTATTTATTTCATAATATGTTTTTTTAGCAATAGTTATAACCTCTAGTTGCTATTTGTACTGCAATCATAATATATTATCTGTAAAAATCCCAAAAATGTTGGCATGTACACATCAGCAACAAAATAGTATGTTCCTTTTATTCCTCTGTATATCCACCAAATGTAACAAATATGGCTGAAGAAGGACAGACAACCTGTTGGTTTACTATGACAACTGTGATCCTCTGACTACATCAATAGCGTGTGATAAGCAATGTTCTTTCTAATTTTTTTTGGCAATGAGCAGAACATATACTTCTCTGAGCAAAAAAAAATTTTCGCTGAGCAGATTCTGAGCAAAAAATTTTTCTGAGCATATTTTCTATAAAAATTAAAATAATTAATTATAAAGTAGAGATTAAAATTTATTTTAAAACATACTTTTATACAAATTATTATCTCTTGTCAATGATTTAATGTATTTAATTGAAATATACGTAGCAATAATCATGTTGCAGACAGTGTGAGAAATAAGTAAACAACAATTCAAATCGGTGTGCATGCTCACCTACGTGGCACATAAATTCTTGTGCGCGGCAACAATTTGAGCAGTGTGCGGCTGTTCAGCCGCGCAGCTTAGAGGGAACATTGGTGATAAGTCCTCTACAGAGTCAAAAATTAGTGCTCATAGTCATATATTGTAACATAAGGACCAAAAGATTTTTTTAATATTCTAAACACAATTGTAAACAGTTACTTTATAATATATACAGGGTCTGAACAGAACTGGAAAGCCAGGAAATAAGATTTTTAGCAGAAAAAGTCAGGGAATCTGCAAATACTGTGGAATCTGCCTGTTGCTTTTGGTCCTTTTTGATCCAAACACATCTTTAAATTTAGTTTGGTATAGGGAGGTCTACAAAAACTGGAGCAACCAAACAAGATTTGTTGTGATTATATCTTGTAAACTATAAATGATAATCTAATGATTTCAATTTTATTGGATAGAACATTTACGGTTGTATTTAAATGGTATTTAAATGGAGGTTTGCATCTGTGTGGGGAAGGGTAGTGGTTGTGCATGAACACCGAAAATGGCAACATGGTGTGGTGTTTGGGCAGCAAGACTTTGGATTGCAAAGAGATAGAACATTGAAATTGGTGTCAATTTGTACAGAATGACAGGATCTACAATATTATTTAGCAATAATATCTGATAAAATAGAATATGTAAAATTATAAGCCGATAACTGCGAGTTGAAGAAAATTTTCATAATGTCGAAGAAATTGCAAAGGAAATAGGAATGAAAATGTAAGAAATGTATATCATTGGGAAGAAAAGTTTAAAAAGAATCATATAAGCCCAAAATGACTAATGCCGATTGATGCAGATTGTATAGAGAGCATAAGAAAACTGAGTGCGTGTACTGAGTGAGTGAGATGCAGATATTTTGAGAGCACCACCACCTGACCAATAAATATTGACTTGGAATGTGATAACTACCAAGACTTTATTCATTTATGTCTTATCCTTCCTCTAACAACACAAAAATGAATTCTTGCCTGAAAGAATTGCAGTTTTGTTTTGTATACAATCCTCCCAATTTTTTTGATCTGTGTGACGTTTGGTTAACTCATTGCAGTCAGTTGATGCTGTGGGGAGACAAAGAACTGTCAGCTGGCCTAACGATGTTGTGTATTGGACATTTTGGATTGCATGGCAGACCTCTCATAATTTATGCATTTTTATTCACTGTATTCTTTGTTGCTGACCACATACAGTATGTGTACATCATTAATCTTGACAAATTGACAGGATTATTATTTGTGAATAATACAAAAGTGGACAGCACGCCGACTATTTAATTGAATAAACCTTTTTATCATACAGGCGTTAATTACCAATGACTCGTCAGACCGACAAGCGCTTTTGACGCTAATTATTTTCGTTATCTTCAGGCCGTTAAAATGGTTAAATTCCTTTTTTGATTACAAATAATTGACCGTTCCAAGCGTATTAACGTTTTTAAATGGAAGCAACAGTAGAATAAAAATTAATTTTCATTACAATAAAATTAATTTTTATTCTACTGTTGCTTCCATTCGGAAACGTTAATATGCTTGGAACGGTCAATTATTTGTAATCAAAAAAGGAATTTAACCATTTTAACGGCCTGAAGATAACGAAAATAATTAGCGTCAGCGCTTGTCGGTCTGACGACAGTCATTGGTAATTAACGCCTGTATGATAAAAAGGTTTATTCAATTATTATTTGTGATATGTCTTCTCTCTAACTGCAAATTTTCACCTTCAGATGGCTTGTCAAATTTCAGAAGTCTACATTTTTTGGAAGTATGCCAAAATATCGCCATAGAGTTAAAATTGGGTTTTCAAAAAAAAAAAAAATCCATGATGACCTGCATTCTTGCCAAACTCTACCACTTCCACTATAAGTTTCCTGGAGGGATGGGAAGAGGAACTATGTTTAGATTTCATTGGATATTGCTAATTTAAATTTTTGAATGTAAAGAACATTTCAATGTCGCTAACTATGTTAAAATTCTATGGAATTCTTCAAAAATCTTTTAAACTCTTTTTTCTGCTTGTATACCTGAAGAAGGCAGGTGAAGAGGCCAAAAATGTTTTTTTTTTTTATTAAGAAATAATTGCTGAAAGAAGTAGTGAAGCGCTAAGTAAATTATTAGTTATCTTGTTTTCAGCTTCTGTGAATGTTTTTTAGAGCATGAGCTTCACTTACCTACATCAAAAAAAAAAAGAGAAACTTTGTTTCTGGCAAGAAGTTAGAGATTTTATGCAGAATACTGATCAATAGGCTTTCTTCAAAAATTTTTTTAGGTATAAACTTGTAAAGGGGGCTTCTTGTCTTGTGCCCAGGGATGTGGAGTTGCATAAAAATCTACCGACTCCGACTCAGACTTTTCATTACCATCTGACTCTGACTCCGTTTCATATACATAACAAGTTGGTAAGTAAAAGGGAGTCGGAGTCGGCGGATTTTTTGACAACTTCGACTCCGGCTAAAACACCAAAACGCCACAACTCCGATTCTGACTCCACAGCCCTGCTTGTGCCAAAGAATATTTTAGAAAAACTGGAAGTGTGTCAAAAACTCACAGAAGACTGTCTGCAGGTTTTTTAGGCACAAAACATTTCGTTTCTTGCAATGTGAAAGAGAAAATACAGTGGTGCCTCGTACAACGTACTTAATCCGTTCCAGGTGCACGTCCGTTAAGTGAAACGTCCGTTATACGAAACGCATTTTCCCCATAGAAATACATGTTAAAACATATAATTTGTTTCGCAGCATAAAATAACCGTACTGTACCATAAAAAATGAAAATGGAGCAGACACCAATTATGCCAGGTAGTCAGATGTTGTGAGGAGGAGGTGGAGGAACACTTTTTTCACATTCATACAGATACAGACTTTTTACAGCGGGTCTTTTTTTCTAAAATAAAATAACTTACTGGAATATAAATACTTAAAATAATCAAAAACACCTTAGTAATTCCAGCAACGAAGTATTTAATAAAATAAAAAACGTTTTCGACTATATTTAGTAGTCTTCTTCAGTTTAGCCTCTTTCAAACGAAAACGAACGTAAAATAGAACGCAAGCAATTTAACGGTTTAAAAATTAAAATTAATTACGTAAAACGTAAATAAAACGTTAAAAAACGTAAAAAATTATAAATAAAACATTAAGAAATTAATCGTGGTAAAACAAAAAAAACAAAAAAATTAATCGTTGTGGTAAAAGGATTTCCATGCGCAGGATAGACTATCTGCGTCTCTATGGTTGATGCATCCTTTGTTAATATGCGCCTTGTAAATTTCAAGTTTTTCAATATGTTTAAGGACTTGTTTGTTGGTGGCTGTCCTAATTATGGATGCTTTGTCCCAATGTACATTAATATCTTGATGTTTAGTAAAGGCTGCAAGGACGGTGCTGTCCACGTTTTTAGTAATAGAATACTTATGTTCTTTAATCCTCTGTTTTAAAAGTCTCATGGTGGCACCAACGTAAACGAGTTCTGAATTAAAACG